CAATGGAGCGCGACAGGGATGCGGCTATGGAAGAGTGTCGTCAGAGTTGCGCTCAGTGAGGTATCAACGGTATCGAGCTTCAGCTTTGAGGTGTTTTTTTTCAAGGTCTTCCAGGTGAGAAGCATCCAGGCTGTGTTGCGGGGGCAGGGGATTTTCTCGGGCAAGGCTGCATCGCACACCGCGCACCCATTTCCAGATTTATCAACCAGATAAAGTGTGTCGCATTGTTGTGGCAATCAGGTGTGCTGCTAATGGAGCGGACTCAGAGGAATGGAAAGAGCTCCTTCAGGCATGGTGCACGCTTTCACCAATGATTCACCAGACTCACAGATGTTCAGGGACATTACAATGTTATGCAATTTGGGGCATGTGGCAAAAGGCATTGTCTCGGATAGTGGTCGGAATCGGGCAAGCAGGTTTTGACAGTTGATTTCCTGTATGAAACCAGGTTCTGCCATTTTGACCTGCGCAGGGGTGGGAGGCTATGAAGGAGGAGATGGCAGAAGTGTGTAACCAGGCCAGTGACACAGTGGCCTTCTCCATTTTGTCGGACATCGACTGGCTGATGGGGCTGATGGGATGCAGCACATGCGCCCAGGATTTCCAAGATGCAAAAGAGAAAGCCAGTGGCTGGGCATCAACCGCCAAGCTTGGGGAGGTGGGGCTGCACCACAACTGCGATAGAATGGTTGAATGGACATGATAGTTGACCAGACCTGACTTTATCAGCTCTCTGCGTTGGACTTACACTTCATGTGACAACATGGACTGTGGACAGTGGGGCCTTGGAAGACTATTTTAAGCGGCACAATCAAGGGTCATCTCACTGTATAAAGGCACGTCACGGTTACACCCCCAACACAAAATCGTAAACAAAAGGACAATAAGAAGGGGGCCTTATTCAAGGGGCCCGTACCTTTTGATTTCCCTTTCGGAGCGCAGGAGAGCACACAAATGTACAACAAAATTCAACTAAGTCACTAAGCCTACACCCTCGCGTGGATGTGTTTGCTTTGGTGTAGGTGAGCCGTGATGAACAGCTGGCCTTGTTGGAAGAGGCTTCACGTCGTAGCAAGCTCGGAAGTACGGCAGAGTTCGCACCGAACATTCGTTCTTCATGATTGTATTATATATGCTTGTTTGTCGGCCGAATTTAATTCTAAGACTGCTATGCCCGAAGCTTTGGCCCAGCAAGCTGAGGTGCAGCAGTCTTCGATGAAGAGCTTCAGAAACAACGATCGCAACTCATTTGCAAAGTTGACTGCTCCAACCAACTTGACAATCTTGACCATGAACACTTGTTGGAACCAGCCATGCTTTTGAAACCAGTTTAGGGAGACGAATTAAGCGCCTTGGAACCACATTCATTTTGTTTGCTATTTGTTGTTGACTTTTTCAGGTCGATCCGCATAGACAATCATCCCTTCCGTTGGCACCTGTCGTGGTTGTGGCGGTGGTAGTAGTAAGCATAAGTAGTAGTAAGTGTGGTAGTGGCAGTGGCAGTGGCAGTGGCAGGTGGTGGTAGTAGTAGTAGTAGTAGTACTACTACTACTAGTACTATGTAGTACTACTACTAGTACTAGGTCCTAGCCTTAAGTCGACTCAGCTTGTGTAAAGTCGACTCGAAACCGTGTGCCCTTGCAGAACTGCACTCCACAGGGATGTCTAAGCATAGATTGTATTGATCTAGAAACACATGTTTTGTGTTGTGCCCATGGTGTGCCTGATTGTCACCTGTTTGTATTTATGAATCTGTTCTTTGGGGGAGGGCAGCTTCCACAGGGGTGAAAATGTCAAGGATTTGTGACAGTTTTGATGCAGAGCTCCTGGGCCCATGCTCCACTGCTGCTGCTGCCGGTTGGCTGCTGCTGCTGCTGCTTCCGGTTGGCTGCTGCTGCTGCTTCCGGTTGGCTGCTGCTGCTCCTGCTGCTTCTGTTTTGGTTGACCGTAGGAAGCTGTAGGACGACTGACTGTAGGAGTCGTGCTCGCGTGAACCTCGCGCGGGGTCGCGCGGGGCCCGCGCAGAGGCCTATAGTCACCTGTGTGTGCGCTTGCAACCTATTCTCTAAGTTGCGCATTGGTGTGATTGGTGCTGTGCCACATTTAGAAAGCAAGGCCAAATGCCAGCCATAACACAGGTGTGCGCACACTTTTCCTTGAACATATCACTCTCCTGCCACGCTCATTTTTCAAGTGTGCCCATTGTGCTTTGTTCACGCGAGTGGATTGACTTCTCGCTGAAACCTTGTGCCCATGCAGTGAGCTGACTTCACGCGACGTGGGTTGACTTAAGTACGGCGCTTGTAGTAGCAGTAGTAGTAGTAGTAGTAGAAGACGTAGTAGACCTAGTAGACGTCGTAGACGTAGGCGTAGTAGTTTACTTAGTAGTTTACTTAGTAGTAGTAGTAGTAGTAGTTGTTGTTGTTGTTCTTGTTCTTGTCCTTGTCGTCGCCGTTGCCGTCGTCGTGGTTGTGGTTGTGATTGTTGTGGTGGTCGTGGTCGGGGTCGTCGTCGGTTGTACCCCTATCCCTCGAACATGCTCTACGACACACTACCTATAGTATGGCAAGGCTGTATTATATATATATAGGGTTCAATATGAGGCAGATGAAGAAGCGGAGAAAAGCATTGCAAAAGCAAGGAGGACCTGATCAGGCTGACCTTTGCGGTTGATGCCATTGGTTGCCCAAGTACTCCTCCGAATTATTAGGTCAACACCAGATAGATCACTGTAGATGAAGTTAGCGTCTCGTGCCATATTTTGGGGAGCGTTGCACAGTGACAACGCGAGGCTGTAGACCCGCTAGACGCCTGCCGGACCATGGCCGATCAAGAAGTCTTGAGCCAACTTGCCAAGGAGCAGGCTGGCCTGAAGGTTTTGTCAGTTTGGGGAGATGATGCATATTATATCATGTTGACGCTTTACGCATCAAAACAATTCCTGTCATAGATCTAAAGGACTGTAAAATGTAATTAATGAATCAAGGGCAAGCGGTGAGAGTGCTTGGCACGAAGAAATCGGAAAAGTAAAGACTTTGACATCAACGGAAAACGTTTTGTACAAAGTCGCCTTGGCTCAGGCAGAAGCGCAAGCACAGTGTGAGGCTGGCACATGTATGACTGTACGAGGATGTTAGTGCACAAAACAAAGGTATTCACAGCGCCTCGCGCTCGACGCCGCCCGCACGGAGAGTGTGCGTTTGTCTGTCTCTGTCTGTCTCGGTCGGTCTGTCTCGGTCGGTCTGTCTGTCCCTGTCCCTGTCTCTGTCTGTGTCTGTGTCTGTGTTTGTGTCTGTCTGTCTCGGTCGGGTAGGACACACGGACGCACACACCCATGATGATGTCAATAATGCAGTCTCCCTTGGGCTGCGTAGCCAACATTAGCCAACATTGCTAACGCGTAGCTCCGAAACCATACGGACAGTCATACGCACGATGTCAATTTTTCAGTTTTTTAAGAGCTTCAACCACATGCGTTCTAGAGCCGATAATGCCCCCCCAAGCCAAAGTTTCAGCTGTGGTACCCGGCCAATCTTCCAGTTCACCCGAGCCGACACAACGCCTCAGCACCTTCGGTGCGGGCGGATTTTTTTTATTTCACACCTCCCAAGCACGGGCCGCCCAAGCCAATGCAGGTTCAGAACTGAACTTTGAGTGCTGTGGTGGCAGTTCTAGCCGCTCTTGAGGCCATGGCCTCCTCCGGCGAGGGCATGTCTGAAGCCTGGGGACAGCTGGGTGCAGCGTGGGCACAGATGCAGACGCTTGGCACGGTGAGCCGAGCGAGCCCTTGAGTGCTGCATTCGGTGCCAGACATGGGCATTGAAATACATGATGTTTGAAAATGCTGATTATGAAAAAAATAATTGGTACAATCTTGTACTTTTATTACATTTCACTACATCTCACCACAAGCGAGCTCCGCTGAGGAAAGACATTGCGAAGGCTGAGAAGGACGTTTGCGGATAATGTTTCTGCGACTGAGCCAAGGGGCCAAGAGATTTGTAATTCCACTTTGAGGAAGTAGCTGAGTCTGCCAAGATGGTCACCAGTGACGCAAACAGCCCTGTCCTCGACGCAACGTGAGTCGATTTCAAAATTTAAACCTTCAAACATTTAAACTATGTGATGTGATTGACCCTGTAAGGCAGCTTGGTTGCTGCGCTGGGACTTGCAGAGGCCATCCCAAAAACAGCATCGGCATAGCCTTTACAATGTGAACTCCGAAACCTGCACCTTCAGGGTCCAGGCAAACCCCATGAACTGTACATGACCTCCGACCCCCGGACACTAAAAAATGAGAGAGAGAGAGAGAGAACGAAGGAAAACAAAAAAAGGTAAGAAAGGAACGAAAGAAAGAAAGAAAGACGGACAGACGGACGCAGACAGAGCGACAGAGCGGGATCATGTGCGATCTTCATCCTGAGTCTTTCTCCAGGCTGGTGAGGCAACAGGCTCCAGGCCTGGGTTCAAGTCAGCACCTCTCAGAAGTTTCTATATGGTACAGCGGGAAAATGCAGCCAACAAGAAACAGCATCTAAAGCCGCTTTGTAGTGTGAAGATGAAGCACATCCGACTCTCAACTACACGATAAGTTTATATGTTTGTTTTTTGGTAACAATTGCTCCGAGAACCAGCTGAGATGCGTGTAAATGTAATTTATACTTAAAACCGTACGATGCCCGACGTGGTCCAAGAGTTATATATATTGTGTGTTGGAATGTTTTGAATCAGATGATTATGTTTGGACGAAGGGAATAAATCAATGCTTCTTTTTCAGATAAACCAGCGAGCCTTCTCAATCTCCTACCTGCTCAGGCGCCCTGGTGAGGCGGATGATAGCGCCTCCCGCCAGGCGGCACTCCAGGAGGCACCGGATTTGCAACATCATTGAGATACAAGGACGAAAGAATGAATGTTTCTTATAACTATACAATGATGCTTTGGAATAAAAGAAAGAGCCAAAAGAGATAAGACGCAGAGGGCGAACCAGAGTGTGAACCGAGCTGGAAGAATGGGACTATAAAATTCATCGCGACCGTGTAGCTTCCTAGCTAACAAACGCGAACCCCAAGTGACTTGTGACTTATAGAATGTCAGCGTTGAATTGTGCGTGAAGTTGCGTGAAGATGGCTCCGCATTTTTGATTTGCAATTTTGGCTCAACTTTTCAAGGGCCGATCAGTGCAGATCAGTGTATATAGGGCCCTTGTGGTAGGTGAGCGCAGGAGCCTCGGTGTTGCAAAGAAGTGCGTGAAGCAGACGCTGAATGAGGCAACAGCCTTTTGCATGTTTGAGGCCGCCAAAAAAGCGCGCTGCGGCGCAAATCGGTCCGCCGTCCTTGAGACATTATTGGCCCAGCAGGCTGGAGTGCGTGACGCGCGCGCACGAGGACTGTGTAGTTATATACATATGTGATATGTGTAGTTGATTGTAGTTGATTTCCTCATTTCCCGGTGCTCTTTGGCACTCTGCACATCCATGTGCACACTGCTGACTTGGTGAAGGCAGCAGGTGTAGATACAGCTGCTGAAGCTGCTGGTGGCCTACTTGGTCGCAAATTTGCTGACCATGGATGGCCGCAGCCTTGGCTGGTGGAACACAGGCTGTGCTTGCTCCTCCTCCAGTCTTCGAACATAAGCAAAAGATCCGACTCCCGAGGCTCAGACGGAGGCTCGATTGCAGGTGATTCTGAGGCCTGGCAGCAGCTAAGGGAGAAAGAGAAGTGACGCAGGTGAATGGAGGGCTATCATGGAGTTTGCCTGGCATTGTGCGCCCGTTCAACCAAGGAAGAATTTGAATACGAGGATCAAGATGTGGAGCTTAAATCAGGTGGTGAAGAAGATGAAGACCAAATGGTTATTGAGCCGCCAGAAGTGCGGAAAGCTCCTTACACGATTATGAATGCAGGCAAGGCTTCATCAACCCACTATTTGCATGGACATTGCTTAATTTTAACCGTGTATTTGGATTGAGTGAGACCGCCCAGGTTTCAGTGTAGACAATGCATCAATGAATACGCCCAAAATCCTGCCAGGAGATCTGGCAAACCGTCAGAACAAATGCATTAGTGAGGTTGGATGGCCGCAGATGCTGGGATGCTTGCTTTGGGTTAGCTCACCGCAACAATCGATTTGCGCAGAGGGGCATGGAGCAAACGTGGGAATCATACATATATACACACGTACATCATACATCAGTACCAACAACATGTCAGAAGAATTGGATCACCGCATGATGCCAGTTAACAGGCATTCGGAAGAGCGTAATATAGAAAGATTGAGGCGGAGCCTTTGTGATTTTCCGTGGTAGGCCTCTGACCTGCTCCAAGTGACGCACGAAGAGGGCTTTGTGTTGCTACGGCAGCACGGATGGGACTTGCTTCGATTACAGGAGCGCAGGTATCAAGCGGGAGATGTTGGACGTGATTGAGGCATAGCTTTAATGTCCAGAAAGCTATTCCCAAGACTGTTGGGATTGAGCAGCGAGAGAGAGAGAGAGAGAGGGTGAGGGTGAGGGTGAGACGTTGAGTATACATTACATTATATTGACATTTTGTCAAGTAATTACAGTACATCAAGATATTGAAAGTTCATATTTTGGACTTCGATTTCTTTCTTCAGGAGGCATGGTTTGACAATGACCAGAAGGTGCGGAATCGATGCGGTCTCAGCACCGCAAAGTGCACGTCACCTGCTCCATCTTCCAATCTGGCAGGCCTGTCGGGTCCAATCATCTTAGCAGCAAGGGTCCTGGCATCGCTACTAGGAGCAAGGATGCTACTAGGGGCTCCTGGCCTTACTACCAGTAACAAAAAGCTATATACTAGGAACAAGGAAAGAAGTAACCTAGTGGAATGCCGCACAAAGAGCGTTGCGTGACACACATTGACCTGTCTTCAACACAAGCACCTTTTTTTCACGTGCAAACTCTGTTGAGGCCCCAAGGTATGTTCGATTTGCATGTCCGCCATCGATGATTTGGTGGCCTTGGACTGCAGTCATGGCTTTTGCGGGGACCTTGGCCAGAGCATCGATCGTGTCAGTCAGGGCAGTCACTCAGTTTCCTCGGAAGCAAAAGCTGTGGGCAGGTGAAGAGTGCTGGAGGGGCTATCTACATACACAGGTAGATGATGGCAAGTCGGCGGTGCAGACTCGCTTCTTGTCTGGTGTTTGCAGGTTCAGGATGTTGTAGCCGGCTTTCTAAAAGTTCGAAAGGCACCAGGAGACAATTGCAAGATCTGTGCAAGCGGCGCTTGGCCAAGGCTGTCCTCAGCACAAGTGCCCCATGGTAGTGCCGACTGCTTTCTTCTCTCGCTTTTGCGATGTAGAGAGGCAGAAGAAGTATCAGGACAGGCAGTTTGTGTGGTGGTGCTACAGTGCTTAGCTTGGTCATGACCGTGCTGAGATGAGAAAGTAAGCTAAACAACACTGAAAGCTGGCCACAGATGTACAGACCGACAGTTTTTGGTGTCAAATGAGATGCAGTACAGCCAACATGCTCGGTGGTGCATGCCCCGAATCAGGACTGGTGCCTGCGGACCTATGTGGATGAAAATGCGTCCGTAAAGTGGTGCCCTAATCCAGTGGGTTGTCAGTTTGCCTGTGAATATCAGGGCGTCGAAACTCGGCTTGTTTGCTTTGATGTTTTGCAGTTGCCAGAATGCGTAAGTATGTAAGTCTGCGGGTAGTTCGGAGGCGAAACACACCAAGAGTAATTATCGTTTTCCCTTGCATCGCTTGCTGGATGGATGCGAAGGAGAGTCTGGAAATTCATTGCCAGTGCACCTTTGTTTGGTGCTGGGCTTGCGGTGAAGAAGCTCACATGCCCGCTAGTTGCAAAACTGTCAACCAGTGGAATGTGAAGAATAGCGCGGAATCAGAGAACATCAGCTGGATCCGAGCTCACACAAAGAAGTGCCCCAAGTGTTCTGCTCTCAGCAGGGTTGCAAACACTGCAAGGGTGGCTGGCACAATCTATATAAGTTGTGTTTGTTTGGGCCATTGGACAACCCCGGGTTCCTGTTCTGCATGAGGTCACAAGCCAATCGAAAAGAACCAGGGCTGCAACCACATGGTTTGCTCAAAGGCATGGTGGGGTTTGCTCAGCGAGCCGTTTGCCTAGCCTAGTGAGACGCACTGAGTTTAGATCTGAGCGAGTCGGAAAGTGGAGTGATGAGAATGTTGGCACAGCTAGAGGCCATTGTTTGCCAGGAGTAACTCTTGCCTCTACTGAGGCCCCTAAGATCCCTAAGCAGAGACAACTCCAGCATGTGACCAGACATGTCAGTAAATCCCACCTGAACTGTGATATCGATCGGATAGCTTCTTGAAGGCCGGCGGTTGTGGTCACGAATTCTGTTGGCTTTGCTTGGGTGATTGGGCATCACATGGGACTTCAACTGGCGGGACTCTTGGCCAAGTCCTGGTGATTGTTGCCCTCCGTTCCTACTAGCGATGGCCTCCAACCTAATAGCAATGGCCTCCAGTTTGCTTTGGTACCCCTTGAGTTTGACAAAGAAGGCCTTGCCGTGCACATGCTCTGAAGATAAAGGAATCCAAGTTCCACCACTGGGTCGGAGCCCCTATGTCTTACAGGATTTGGACATACAGTAGTTGGACCGCATGTGTGGCAAACTGAGGTATTACCAGTGCAACATTTACGACAAGCAGTCCAAGCAGGGCAAGCATGCAGAAGAAGAAAGAAGTAGACAAGAAGCCAAGCATGCGCTTGACATTTACATGTTTTACTTTGAGCGCTTCATGGACCATGACAAGGGCATGAAGCTTACTGTGATCCAAGAGCAGGACGGGTGGGACCCGGCAATGCATGTTGGTGCTACGGGATATGGGGTCATTTGCTAAAGTAGAATTTGGCAAATCAATGACTTGACGCTGAGCTTCCAGCAAGGCAGACTGCTGCTACAGTTCCAGCTGCTATGCCACCCACTCTTTCTTGCCTCTTTGGCCTTGCCCCTGCGCAGGACATCGAGGGCAAGGTACAAAGACTCCACGACGAGCATGGTTTTGCAATTATTGAGTTGCAGTTCCTCTATGATGCACTTCGGCAAGTCCGAGCATGCCGGAGAGTCCTCAAGTGGACGTATGTCTATGGCTACTACCTTGATGATTCTAATGTTGCTCAGCTGTGATTCTGTCACGCAGAATGGAGTAGCAGCGAGTTACATTTAATAGTACAATTAGAGACATCACCGGGTCACATAAATGATCATAAATGTATATTTGGGGTGTTGTACCCCCTAAAAGGAAACATTTCCTCGTCTCCAGATTTCATGGGGGCCCAGAGAGTGGTTCGATCCAAACACAATTCGGGTCTTGACAAAAGAAAACAGGTAGCGATAGCCGCCAAACTACTTGCGATGGCCTCCAACCTAATAGCTTCTAGCTACAAGTAGCTTCTTGATGCCCCAAGAACCATGTATATCATGATACATGTTGTATTGATACTTGATACCTCATGATACCTCCCTTTTCCTTATGTTCAACACCCTGGTTGAAAGTACTTGTAGACACCTGTCCCCCCTAGCTGCATACATCAGAAAACACCCCCCTCCCATTGTAGAATTAGACCCGGTGATATTGGAGACCAAGATGAACAATTGATTGCAGAATCATGTTGGTGGTGGATGTTCTTTTGGGTGCTTGCACAGCTTTGTCTTGTGGCAGGAGAAGCCGCTCTTTGAATACCTGCAGAAGAATCTTGAAGAAAAGACGGATTGCCTTCACGAGATGTTGGAAAAGGACTTCGACAAGATTTTTTTTGATCAGGACAATCAGTTAAGCAGCGGCTCTGAAGAAGCACATCAGAAGTTCATGACCTTCCGCAGTCATGCGACGAACTTCACGAATGTGACTCAGAAGTTTCTAACTCAGATCCTAACCGATCTGGGATCTGACACTGGTTTGGGTCAACGATTTTCTCAGAGCTCGACGTGACAGGCACTGCCATCACCAGTTTCACTGATGGCTTATGATTCGGCAAAGACCGTCAACAGCCACACCTGAAAGATCAAAGCCATCAGGAAACAACCAGTTCTGGCCAAGGCCAACTTCACAGAAAAGCCTTGCTGAAGGCGATCCTTTTGTACTGGCCAAGTTGCGACGACAGTCTTCATGAACCTCATCTGATTTTGTTTGAATAGGCAACCACATATACAACACCAAGTACTGCAACATATTGAATCAGCTAGAATAGCACATAGTGACATTACATTGCCAAGACGAAGCAGTGTGTTTGATTCCACGCCCGTTTGTGCCAGTCCTTATTCAGCAGGGCCAGTTGAAATAGTCTCTCACTCGTGGGGCATTCAGCATCCGGGAAGACACAGCCTTCTTGCCCGCTGTGGACACTCTGGTGACAAAGCGTCACATTGAAAAGGTGTGCTTTGCCAAGAGTTGAGGAGGTATGATAGGTATGATCATCAAATCTAATCAAAAGAATCACCCTAGAACAGCAACAGTACATGAGGCAGCTCAAGAGTGCTGACCCCAATTCATAATAGACCGTATGCTACATTGCGCCCATGAGTCGAGAAGACGCATAGCACTCGCATCATGCTCATGTGCTCTTGCATTTGATGCCTCTACTCGCAGTCGCTTTCTCGTGACCTTTGAATCCAGGCTGCCCGGCGAATCGCGGTCTTTGACGAGGAGAGGGCCACATTCCAGAGCCATATTAGCACGAATGGGCCGGGTCGCAAATGGTGCCCCATGCACTTACTGTAGCCAGGTGCTGATTGCTGGCAACGTTCCTTCACACTCAAATTTGTGCATGGCTTGTGTTGTGAATGCAGGTAAGACGTCCCGCCCTCATTTCATGTTCATTCATTGGGATGTCCACGGGTCCTTCCAGATTGCTCTATCATGAAATATGCAGGAACTTGCGAAGCAGCGTGCAGTGCGGCACCGAGAAAAAGAAGAAGAGCAGGACCACTTGGAGGAAAGTCTAGATTCGATGCTCCTTCCGGATCGCTTGAGAGGATCACATCATGTGGGTGTGGCGACTGTTACCGATTGTTGCCGGCTGTTACCCCGCCCAAGTTCTCCTTCTAGCCAGTTTGCGAGCACTTGTAGGTCCACTTATCGCTGAGGCGATGTCCCGGGACAGGGAGCACAAGGGTCCACGAGCTCTAGGCCACTCGTTTTGAGCGACAAAACATGTGAGAATACTGCCCCATTCTTCACCCCCTCAAGATGATATGTGGTGGCTGATCTTTTCCTCGGTTTGAGGGTGTTTACTGAAAGGGAACCAGCTTGTTGAAACAAGTTTCTCAGTGTGATCCACATTGCATGGAACGGACAGCAGAAAGCCTTCCATTTCAGAAGAAAGGTTTCTTTGTCAATATGCCCGGCCTTCGCTGTCTTTGCGGTATAGTATTTTTTTGGCATGGCCCTGCATTGCACTGCATTCGCATGACTTCTTTCGCATCAGACCGATGACCATTGACGCCAGGCAATGCCTTGCTCCATGGCGAGGCCTTGAAGGCCCTGGCGGCCGAGAGTGCCGAGGCCGTAGCCGCCTGCGAGGCCGGGCGACAGCAGATCGCAAGGATGAAACACACGGGAATGCCCTTGTTGCTAGTAGCGATGCTTCTAGACGGATGGCGCTGACGGGATATGCTTTTCTCTCACTCATGATGAGCACAGACAGGCGACTCCGTGCGACTCGTGTTTACTATATTTTACTATTCTTGATGAGATGTAATGTTGGGGATTCTAGGCAACCTAAAAAGACCGAACAGTTCTCCAGTCCTTTGACATTTAATTAGAGGTTGCCTGCATTGTTGAAGTTCAGGATCAGCTGGATCATGCCATGATCAGAACACATAGGTAGAAGGCAACCCCCTTGAGGCATCAGGGCACATTCAGGATTGCCTTGCCAGCTAGGCGGCCGCTGCGCAGGAAGAGGGGCAAAGCGAAGCCTGGCAGGAGCTGAGTTGTGCACGATGGTGAACAACGGACACTAATAGCAAACATTGTTACTAGATGTTGCTAGTAGTAAGGCCAGGAGCCCCTAGTAGCGTCCTTACTCCCAGTAGCGATGCCCTTTGTTACTAGTACTGTAGCTTCTTGTTACTAGTAGCGAAAAAATCAGAAAGATGAACATCGACCGGTAGGCCTGCTCTAACGCAGAAGTATGCAAAATGACTGAACATGGCTGATGGGAGGACCTGTGGAAGATTTGGGGAAACCTACAGGCAGACTTGGCAGAGGACGGGGCAGCTGAGAAGTCTCAAAATTTGTGGAGCCAGTCCAGTCAAGATACATAATCCAGATACAGTAATCCAGCATCCACTGTGCAGACATCTGGCACACGCTCACGACTCACGCTGCCTAAGCAGAAGCATGGAATCGAGATGGGGCATCCGTCCCTTTCTACGTGACAACGTCACTACGTCACTGCTTAATCCTCGTGATCCTTTGCAGTAGTAGTAACTTGAAGCAGTTGCATTTTCTGCCAGCAGAGCCATTTTGGATCTGTTTTGCTTTGCCTTGAAACGCATCTCACCCTTAGGTTGGTTGGTACAATTACGGTAGTTGGTTTAGATTGGTGATTTCAATGTTTTGCTTCATTGGTATTCACTGGTGGTTCCGGCTTTCCGGAACCTCCGTTCACCAATCCACTTCGCCTTAGCATGATAATTGAAGCTGATCACATGTTGCTTTTGACTTCCACTGGATGAGCTTGGCAACAGGCAAGAGAAGAGGCCGCCGCAGAGGCAAAGGCTTGCAGTGCTGAGGAGGCACCGCCTGGGGACGAGGGGTCAGGAGGCAGTGGGGCATTGAAACCGGAGTTTCCTTCGCAGAAGGAGTCTGGCCTACACAACCCTACTGAGAATACTGAGAACAAGAGTGTGTTGATGAAGTTTCATGAACAAACATGGGTTCCTGCTGCTACCCCTTACATCATATGTAACATCACACTTGGACTGCGAAGAAGAGGGTCTTTATGATCTACAATAGGGACCGCCAAGAGCATCAGTATTGCGACCAGAGATAGCATGATATGAATGAATGGATTGTCTGTGCCTGTGCCTGCGGTGCGAGAATCTGAGATATATCTTTCATATGAAAGCCAAGTAAGTGCTGGCCCCTCGGTGGAAGGCATGTGCGACCCCCCTTTGAATCAATGATGTATGCAAGTTCAGAAAAGGCAAAAGTAGCTCACCGATAGAACAGAACATGCCCAGTTTAAGCAAGAGATTGCAGAACTTTCACTGGCGGTCCCCACCAAGGAACTATAGTTCTTTTATGGTTCAGAGTAGCCATGTGGCTATGGGTCACAACACCCTGACATCCCTAATTGACCCCTTTCCGAATGAACATTCCATGATGTGGTCCACCTGGGAGGACTGGTTTTGACCTCCCGAGGCCTCCGGTGCCCTCTTAGCCCATGAGCTCACCGTCGCGGCGCGGCGTGCTGTGGCCTTCGAGCATGAGCTTGGCCGGCTGACCAGCAGCCATGCACTCAGAATGCCGAAGAACAACCAGTGCGGAAAGCGTCATAGATTGGGTAAATGTGGAAAGCGTCGCTGACGCTGTCGTTCAGCAAGCATGAGGCCACAAAGACGATGATGGCAGCTCTGCCGATGTTCGCCGTGCCAGGAACGCCGCGGCAGTGCGGTTCACAGTTCATGGCCCCACAGCAGGTCGCCTTTTGGTGCGAGGTCGTGGAGGTTCAAAGCCCTATGTGGAAACGAAACGCCATACCAAGGAGTTGCTCACGCCCCTTCCTGCATTGCATTTGTGTTCTGTCTTTGCTTATATATAACACGAGCAATTATTCGGCAATTATGGTCGAAGATGGTCTCAAGTGTGGAGTAGCATCCGAGAAAGATAGAATTAGCAGAACACGTTTCAATTGCTTATGACTCAATGACGTAGTTTAGATGGTCTGACAGCCCTTTGCTTCAGGTGCAGAAGTTGCAGGCCGATCTCACAGAGGGCCAGGATGCTTAGCCGGCTTCGTTCAGGAAACTGTATGCTTGTTGATGTGCAGATGTTTCAAGGTTTGGCCTCCTGCCGTTCCAAAGTTGAAGCAACAGGCCGCGGGCAGACGGTAAAGTTGTTAATTGTTTTTAATACAGCAAATCCTAAAATATACAGCTCTGACTTGCTCCCAAACCATGGTGACTGATACTCACACTGACACGAGAAAGAACCTAAAACCCGTGTCATGTGCCGTCCCTCATTCCATGTCAGTGTGACAGGTGCCCCAGATGCAACGCCCAATATGCTGGAGATGCGTCAGTAGCCTCGGGGCTATGAAAGGCATTTGGGAAGTCAATGCGGAGGTTGATTTTTGTTTCTGACTTAGTTTTTTTGGTGATGTTTAGGCCCGGCATGGCAAGAGCTGGTGGATCTTTGGCATCTTTCTCAGAGTTGGAGCTAAAGATGTTTGGTATCAGTCTTTCAGCAATTTCAGAGATGTCGGAGTTCTTTGCAGGCAGGAGTTGGCCAAAGAGCTGGAGTCAATCTCTCAGGAGATGTGGCCCGTTGCTGAAGCAACGATTTAGGAACCTTATCCCATCAATCGTGGAAAGATGTTTTTTGGTTTGTGTCCTTCCTTGGTGAAGTGGTGGCTTCGGTCCGATAGTGACAGTGAGCATGATTGGGCAGCAGGAGCTGACGACTCCTTCGGAGCCCACTGCTGCTGGAAATGCGCTCCGGAAGCTGTTGGACACCAGTGTGAGTGATGCTGAGCGCCAGTCCGACTCCAAGCATGTTCAGCACATGTCCAGCATTTCGATTTCTTGAACTTATATATACAATTGCCTATTAGCGGGATGTCGCCGCATGATGCCGCATGGGCTTTAGGTTCCCTAAGGTCCAAGGTGTTCTCGGTTCATGTTGGTTTGCGACGCATTGTGCGGCAGCGATGCCACGACACCAAGGTCTGCTTTGGCGGAAGCCGCCCGATGTGCCGCACAGTTCGATGAAGAGCTCCAGCAGCAACGGCAGAGGCAGGCATGGAGCGAACATAACCAACATTTAAATTGGTTTTGGACTGTCAGTTCTGGATATGTTTAATACACGTAGTCCATGAGACTTTTTGCCTGCTGCTTGGCAGGTTGGTGCGTCGCAGAAAGGCCCTGCCACCAGGGCGAGGGAGAGGGAGACAAGTTTCTAAATGGGATACTGCAACTCATTGAATCATAGCTTACACTGCTCAAACTCCATGATAATGCGCTGAGTGTTTACCCAAGTTGTGTGTGTGACACTTGGCTGAGGCAGGAACCGGGGAGGCTGCCAACCGCTTGTTGGCCCTGGGAGATGCTGTAAAACTTCAGGCCAGACAGTGGACTGACTGAAGGGTTGAGGGGAGCATTGGGATGCTTCAGACAGGTGTGGTGGTTGTACACGACGTGGTTTGTTTTGTGATAGAAAGTGGCAGAAGATGATCAGACCATCCAAGCCCTTTTTTGAGGCATTGTCCAAACTAGCGTCTAAACTAGTAGCTTCTTGTTACTACTAGTAAGGCACTTGTTACTAGAAGCGATGCCAGGAGCCCCTAGTAGCTTCTTGTTACTACAGCGTGGTTGTCCAAACTTGCGTCCAAATGCATTTTTGCTGATTTCGGAAGTCTCTTTCTTGGCGCAGGCTCTTGCAGCTGAGCAAGAGGCAGCAAAGTCGGCTTGCCACCTCCTCAGTGTTGAACGGGTTTTGGATAAAAATATATAGCCCCGTCGGGGAGTTGGTGTACTTGAAGTCCATTCATGTCAGGCCAGGAAGCATTAAGCAAAGCAGAGGCAAAGAACGCCGTAGACGAGGCAGCATTGCAATCCTGTGCTTTTGATGTTCATTGAGTTTGACTGTTTCTCTCCGGCGCTTGATATTTTTCACTTTGCACATGCTGCGACGGTTGTTCGCTTCTAGGTACTCGTATCTATAAAATCTATTGCCCACGTGTCTTCGTTCTCTCCTTTTGCCCATGTGGGAGCAAGCTTTTGAGGCAGAGGGCTGGAAGCAGATCATGAGCGCGTCCATTGCCCAGGGACACTGGGGGCAGTGAGCTACTGTTATCGTCCAGGGTAGCTTGCAGATTTGCACGGTCTGTGAGACTGCAATGTCGTCCAAGCACGATGCAGATGAGACGTTGGGCGTGTTGAAGATGATATCATCCAAGATCATGCTGGCAGTTATACCGTAGAATTGAGGTGCTGATTTCCGTACTTGTATATAGTCAGTGTATATATATATATATGATGGCTTCCTGTTGATGTCGACATGCTCTGGCTCATTTAAGCCAGTCTGAGCTGCTGGTGTTTCGATCGAACTACCAATGCCCATGTCCTGCAGCATGCTCCTGCGTCTCGCAGCTTTCCTTGGAGGCACCAGTGTCCATGAATGTTTTCATTGCGCTTTGGAATGGCTCCCAAAACAGTAAGAGGGAAGTGCTTTCCAATACTTTGCGTATTGTTTGAGGACTGACCTGTTTATTTTTTAAGGGGTACCTGTGCCGGGAGTGCACCATGTGGAGGATTGCAAGTCATCCAAAGCTTCGTTTATGATGAGAAGGCAGCGGAGAAGTATATTTGGCTTGAGCAGCTCACACTGATACCCAAGGCCAGCTCGAGCATTGTATCGTGGACCTTTCGGAATCCTGTAGTGGGTTGTTTCTGAAGGCCATGGTGCATCGCAAGTGAACTCGAATGAGCCCCATGCTTGCGTTGTGGGGTGCCGGTGTCCCGTGTGTGACATCACTCTGGCAAGGACGAGCTGCAGACCATGCGGTGTGGGCTGACATGTGAGATGCTGCCTGAGGTCACCCAAGAGCTTTAGCCGCAAATGATGTACGGTAAATGCAAAAATACTGTATATATACTGTATGACATGCTCACAAGCACCTCGCACATCCCAACACTGACATGGCTCCTTTCTCAGTGTGGATGACCATGGACGGCCTTTGTATGCAAAGTCCTCATTGTTTCCCCATTGCTAGTCATAATCTCTGCCTGGCCAGGTTCACGTTACTAGGGACGCTTATCCTTTGGATACACGGGGCTTGGTCCTACGCTATGGTACGGATGACTGCGCCGTGGTCTTCCGTGGGTCGAAGAGCGTGTTGAACTACCTCTTGGCAGACACGTGGATGGAGATGGGTTGATGGCCAATCGGACGGCGTGCTTTGGGGATCGGAAATTGTACTGCATGAAGGTAGAGCAGGAGAATCCAAGTGAAAGAAATGAACACATAATCCTTTTTACCCATTCCCTGGTGTGGGGAGATGAAGCGGCTTGTGTCAACGTCAGCGAGCATCGAGGGTTTTGGGGCCTTAGCCAAAGGCTAATCTCCGGGAGAGGGCGATGGAGAGAGAGAGAGAGATATATATATATATAGAGAAAAAGAACTTTAATGCTGAACAATGTGTTTCGTACGTAAACGTTTTCAGGGTGAATTTCCACGAGTACGGGCGGGCGGAGCATGCAGAAGGATAGCAAAAATGTGTGTGTGCGTCCACCTCTGTAACTAAGAGTTTCTGTTTTTTCTCAACTTTTAAGTCGCAGGGGGCGTGACGGTCGATTTCCTAGTCACGCCAACGAAGCTAGGGAAATCGACTGGATGGAAGTTTGGACGCAAACTTCTGTACCTGCGCGGATGAAAACTTTTGCACACGCTGTGACTCCACTTTTCCTTTTGTTGTTTCCATGGTGGTTGTTCGCATGACATCCCCCAAAACAGGTTTCCTTAGCTTTGGTAAAGTGCTAGTGCGTTTGTTAAACAGTTCTGTTCTTCGGACCCTTGCACCTTACCGTTCTTGGAGTGAAGGTCTAATGCAGTAACTAGCTTCCGCAGTCAAGTGAACAACTCCTTTGTTAAAACACATTCAAGTGCTCCGACTCTTTCACCTTTCGGTTCCATCGCCATTTTTCCTGGGAATTGAGTTAACTGCAAACCAATGTCAGAGTGTGTCAACCTCTGTAACTAAGAGTTTTTTGAACGCAGGGGCGTACGGCTCGTCATACCCACCGTACGCAACGAAGCTACGGTATGACGAGGGAAGGGTGGACTGATCATCCACCTGTACCTGCGACTAACACATTGACTCCACTGGTTTCCTCGGCGGCTGTTTTTTGTTTCCATGATGGTTTGCTCACGATACCTCCCACAAACCCTTTCTACCGCGTTGTTGCAGCTGAGCCGCGCGTTTTGTGAACACTTCGTTTTGCAGCTTGCGAGAAACAGTTGTTCAAACACCTTCAACTCCTTGGACTTGGCACCTTTCGGTTCCATCACCTCCCTTCGACCTGGGAATTGAGTTAACTGAAGACCAATGTCAGAGTGTGAACCGCTCAGCCGTCCCACTTGGGTGCTGGGTGTGATCTCCCTCACCGGGGCGCCGAAGCCATTCCGGAATTTCACTAACAGCTTTTTTGTTTCCACCATTCGTTGGATTCTCTTAACCGATTCCTTTTCACCACTGGATTAACTGCCTTAAGAGCTGTCGGGCTTTCACGATATGATACCACAGCCACCGGGCTAAAAAACGGAATTCAGTTCCACTTGAGGCCAGGCATGTTGTCCCAACCCCCCCCCCGCCGAGTTCTACTCCCTACCTAATTAGGGTAACGCAGGGAAATGGTACTCGACACACTTGTGTGTCGGTGCCTTTCCCTCTGTTGTCCCTTTTCTAGTCTACTCTACCCGGGCGGTTTAAGACTAAAGTCCCGCTCCCTAACTATTGCGCTTAATTCATTTCTGCTAAGTAATCAGTAGCTCTAGAGTGCTAAGTAATCAGACACACACACGGACACACACACACATTCCACATACATCCCCTCCCTGCCCCCCACTTTCTTTCTTATGCTTTTGGTCGTTTCTTGGGCTTTCTCTCAGGCTTTTTAGGTTGTTCTTGAGGCTCGTTTCCCCACCCCAGTCAAGGGCTAAGTATTCACTTTTTTCTCCTCCTATCTTTCTCTCTTGCCCTCTTAGCGCTGCTCTTTCTGTGTTTCTTTCTTTTGTTTCTAAGGCTTTTTAGGTATCTATTCAGGCCCTCCGCGCGAGCGCCGCAAAGCGGCACCGTGTGTGTGTGTGTGTGTCAACCTCTGTAACTAAGAGTTTTTTGAACGCAGGGGCGTACGGCTCGGGACTGATCATCCACCTGTACCTGCGACTAACACATTGACTCCACTGGTTTCCCTCGGCCGCTGTTTTTTGTTTCCATGGTGGTTTGCTCACGATGCCTCCCACAAACCCTTTCTACCGCGTTGTTGCAGCCTTTCGGTTCCATCACCTTCCTTCGACCTGTGAATTGCGTTAACTGAAAACCAATATCAGAGTGTGTGTGTGTCCACCCCTGGACAAAGGGTTTTCCACCGCTACTCCTTCCACAGTTTT